ATATATAATGTAGAATGTTCGTCAAAGCGTTTGTGCGAACAAAAAGTAAAAATTAATTAAAGCCGGATTAGTCCTTTTGAAAAGACCACAAACAGGCTTTCATTAATTCAAAGGTTCGGTGTCTTTGAAGAGGGCGCAGGTAACTCTGCCGGGTATTTAATTTGGGAGTCAAAGCATGAAAATGAGAGCGCTTTTATGCAGCTGCTATAATACCGAATGTAAACCAAACACGTCCTTTGAACACTGGCGCATTCACATTTTGATTACGTTTTTTCATCAAAATGACAATTATAAAACAAAAACAGAGCCTTTTTTGTTACACGTAAGTAACACTTTTGAAAACTTTTATTCATTTTATTCATGGATTCAATTGTCGAAAGAAATCGGAATCACTCTGGACTATACGATAGATAGTCCTGGTTTTCATCCACCACAGTCCACAATCACTCTGTATGTCTGTATGAATATTATACTGTTCGTTTCAAGAAGTTGGAGATATGCCCCTTCCCTTTATTAGGATGCGCCGTAGCATAATTCCAAATTCAATCATATTTGTCTGCGGAGCTCATTTCTCCACCAATCATCGAGCGAGAACTAGGCAAAAGTGTACAGTACCATTTGCAAAATTATTTAAACTGCCTCGTTAAAATTTAAAAATATGCTTTATTTAATAGCATATTTAGCCAATAATAAGAACAAGTGAATTAACTTAACATTCTACACACCTATAAAAGTTTTGCTTTGTTTTCTATTGTTAATTTATATACATTTTTGTTTTAAGAAATTGCTAAACATTTTCGTCTAGTACTGTACAGTTCTAGCCGATCTCCTAAGACCGCCCATCGAGAGCTCTGCTCGTTCCAACTATTTCTGTCTTGCTCACGCCTAGTGTGTATTCTTTCTATCTTCGCGCAGATTTCTTCAAGGTCACAAATCAAACAAATTGAAATGGGCTGTAACTAGCCGTTTCAAGCGATTCAACTGGGACGTTCCCCATCCACCGTTTAGTCCAGATCTCGCATCAAGCGATTTTCACCTGTTTGTCACCAATAAAAACAGCAACTTCAGAATGCTTTTTTGTGTTTAGATACCTACCTATGTTTTGATAGAACTCATCTTTTTGAATTATAAATAAAGGTCAAATTTTACATGATGTATGATAATGGAGAACGACAAGGACATGTACATATGTACCTAATACATTTATATTTATTTTGTATGTTTGTACTTCGAGTATAAACAATAAATTTTACATCTTAATCGATAATGCTTTGTCTTTGTAAATACAGGACTTTTGGAATTTCTTTTTAAAGTAAAATACCTAATAGTTAATTTTAGGGAACTCTTGTTCCCTTTCTGACATTATTAGCTTGGGTAGGAACGGTTTGTCGAACATTTAGAAGGATTTTAGTGTCAAACGTGACACAAATAGGTGTTAAACAGTTCGTGTAAACTCTCGCAAAGAAAAAATAAACACTTTTAATAAGGCACAGCTTGAGCTTGAAGATATTCTATTAATACAAAAAAAATGATGCGTCTGGATGAATATGCCAGAATTAGTTATCTTTTAAGTAAAAGAAACAGGAAAGAGGAAAAGAAAAAAAAGATTCTAAACCATATGTAAGACTAAAAGTTATTTTTTTGTCTAAATTGGTATCCACCCTAGTTTTCGTTTTAATTTTCGTCTAAGTAATAACTAAAATGAATTTTTAGAGCATGTAATATCGTCTCGTAACAGAAAGGCCAAAATTAACTTACTTTTAATTAAGTTAATTTTATTCATTAATCTCATCTGCAAAAGTACAGTGTATATTTTACTTTTACTCATTAAGGTTTCTCCCATAAAATTTTACAGCTCTCGCTTTACATTTTTACGACTTTTTATTGCAGTTTTACGATTCATTTTACTATACAGTTACTGTTTAAAAGTAAAGTGTTCCCATACTAAAACTGCACGTAGGGTGAACTTAAAAGCTTCAAGGAAGTTAGTACAAGAGGTAACTCTGAAACGATATGTAGGTATAGGTACGTGTGTGTCCAATCTGATCAATAGAGTGGGTGTTCACTTATTGTTATGGATAATTTATATGTGTTTCTATCGTATACCCGGTTACTTATCGGGAAGTCCTCGTATAACGTAAAAATGCTAGATAATAATTATTAATTGATATGTGGGCGTCGTAGTTGTTTATTTTTCTATGACTTTCTTACGATGATAACGGGATGATCTACTGCAGCATCTGCTAGTTGTCTTTTATCTCTCTTCTGTCACGTACTTGGAAACTTTTTCCGAGATCTAGTGGGCGTAATCTTGTCGAAATTAAAATACTTAACGTTAGCTAACGCCGATATATTATTTCGAAAGTGTAGAGAAAAAACATTGACTGCATCAAATGATGGTGTGTTGACGGAAAAATTAATTAGTAACTTTGGAGAAACCAACGAAAACTAACGTGTGGCTAGTGTTTACTTTAAAACGCATACGTGTTCAAAAATTACACATGAAACCATTGAACATACAGGTCGACACAAATAGGAAGAAGTGTGAATTGTTTCCGCCTATGATGCGCGGTAAACTGAATGTTTGTGGAAGAGAGGGATACGCACCACAATTGGTCCTGTTGGTTCTTGTTATTTGTGTATTTTTAACGTTTTTGCTATTGTTATTGGTTTTACTGAAGTTATTGTTGTTATTACGGTTTGCTTTCTTGAATCCACATGTGTTTTTTATTTGTTTCACTACAAGCTGCAATGATTTATTAATTTGCGATCAATTATTTCAAATTTGGTTAGCCATTCATGTAGGTCTCTTCTTCATGTTTAGAAGATACATACGAAAAATCTTCCTGATTCTGCTGTTCTTCTTTCTTTTAATACTTTATTTGTCTTTCTTCCACGCATAAACGTTGCTAACTGAAACCTCTTCCTATTCTTGTCAAGCTGTACAGCAAAATACATGATCAGATAATCAGGGAACATTTGTTTCGTAGATTTTTGATATGAGTAGAATGTGGAATAAATGAAACAAAACTCATTCAGTAAAAAGGCAATAAAAAAGTACATATACTAAAGCGTGTGTAAGAAAAACTATTAAAGTTATTATTGGGACTATTCGGAGTGTTCTAGCTGTTCTAAAGATTGGAATTTACTGCCAAAACAATGGTTTTTATTACCCTTTCGTTCTATATTGACGAACGCCACACAACGACGAACTGTTTGATTCTATTGCGGAAATAGTGAATAAACTGAAGTCCCCATAAATGTTTCTAAACGTAAAAAGAAGATAAAGAAAAGAAAACACTTTTATAAAACCGAATGTTTTAACAAAATTCAAGCAATAAGGACACAATAGTCGAACAACAACATGAAGATGTAAACCGCGATCTCGAACTTATTAGTTCTCATCATCACACCACACATAGTTTCAATAAATCCTTCAAGCAAGCAAGATAAATAAGAGCCACATGTAGGTGCTGTCAGATACAGAGAGTGATTCTCTTTGATTTGTATTTGAACGTTTAAAAGTTAACTTTCTACATGACAATATGTGAGGATGTCAATTGGTAAACTTTTAGCTTCAATATTGTCTTTTTGTCAAGTGGTGTGTTGATGTACTGACCTATCGTTAACTAACTGAATGTAATCTTATTGGTCGTAAACCGATGTCAGTTTCAATCCAATTGTCCAAATATTTCAAGTCATTGGGGGAGAGTTTGCATAAGTTAACCTCGGTTATCAATATTTACATTCAATTACACATCAAAGAGAGAACATTGTTTTGATCTACCAAGTGTCTTTTGTTGTAAGACACGATTAGAAACTAGTGAGTTCATTGAATTTGAAATGTCCCTTTTATTCTATCACCTTTTTTAGATCGTAGTTTAGCATTTGCCTTGATCCTCATTTTTCTGGATTATTTAGGCAAATACTGGAGCAGCAATATTCCACACGCAATCTTCCGCAACCTCTTCTGTCTTCATTTCGCGTGTGTCACCTGTCTCTTCCTAATCGCCACCCACTCATTCTTGCAATTCCTAAAACGAGACTGAAGAAGGTCTTCCACCCTGTCCTCTCATTTTTTTGAAGTGTAAGCCGAAGCGATCGTCACCCACTTTCACCAACAATTCTTAAAAGAAGACTGAAGAAGGCTCGCCACCCTGCACTCCGGTTTTACTGAAGTGCAGGCTGGAGAGATTGCTCACCCCCTGATCTTCCGCGTCTCTTCTATCTTTATTCCGCCTGTGACATCTGTCTCTTCCTAATCGTCACCCACTTATTCCTACAATTCCTAAAAGCAGGCTGAAGAAGGTCTTCCACCCTGTCCTCCGGTTTTACTAAAGTGGTGGTCGGTGGGATATCCCTTCCTCTCATCTTCCACGTCTTTTCTGTCTTCATTCCGCCTGCGACATTTGTCTTTTCCTAATCGCCACCTACTCATTCCCACAATTCTTAAAAGGAGGCCGGAGGTCTTCCACACTGCTCTCCGGTTTTACTGAAGTATAGGTCGCAGTTAGCGCCCTCTCCCTGATCTTCCACGTCTCCTTTTCCTTCATTTCGTCTGTGTCATCTGCCTCCTCCTAATCGCCACTCACTCATTCTCACAATTCCTAAAAGGAAGCCGAAAAAGGCCTTCCATCATGCTCTCCGATTGTGCACTGGAGTGTAGAGGAGGGATCGCCTGCCCTCTGGATTATTTAGTCAAATACTAGAGTAGTAATATTCATTCCATACATAATCTTCCACGAATCTGCTGTTTTCATTTTTCGTCTGTATCATGTGTCTTTTCCTAATCGCCAACCATTCATTACTACAATTCCTTAAAGAAGGCAGAAGAAGGTCATCCACCCTGCCCTCCAGTTTTGCACTGGAGTGTAGATCGGAGAGATAGCCCGCTTCAAGCTTCAGTTACTGATGGTACTGAGTCACACAGAACTTTTCTTTTTAATTATTCTTCTTAATTTTTGTTTTGTTTTCTAAATAATGTGTTTTTTTTGTTTCAGGTGGCACGAGTTGTGTTGACGTCCACTTCGAAAACAAAGATGGCGGTTTCTTCCTCAAACATTCTTCCCGTCAGAACCTGCAATCCTCGGATTCGGGTGCTTCTTCCGGTTCACTCCTCTCAGTCGATAGATTCGCCGTTTTCCAAACGTCCCAGCCGATTTCGATTCGCGCAACGTACGGTCCCTTCAGTACAAAACAAACGGTACCGGCGCGCTACGTCGTGGCCGACCCATTGCCCATTAACACGACCAGTTCCTCCTTAGATATCCAAGAGTTCACCGGTCACCATTTCGACATGTCCGCGCACATAGTCAAAAACGAAATTCCACGCGATTCACCTGTTCTAAGAGTACTTTTTCACACCGGGACCGATCCTGGTGTGCGCCAGCCCGTTTTCACCCACCACCAACAGAAGCTATGTATCATTTTGCACGCAACTTGGGGTAGTAAGGGACCCTTAAGTGCCACGTGTAGTCCGGACGGAGAAGATGGCGTTTGTCTTGCCCAAATCACTGTACCATCTTCTTGGTGGCCTTCTCTGCCGCCCCCCGATAAAGACGGGAGACCGGGAAAGGTGGCTAAATCGCCGCCCCGAGTAGTTCAGGTCGCATATTCGGTCCTCGAACCACACCCCGATGACGAACAGGGGTGCCAACCGAAAGTACAATTTCAACCCACTACTATCCTCGGTTTAGTCACCTTGGTACCGGCCAAAACTGCCTATAAAGAATTGAAACTCACCGAAGGGATTACTATGTTAATACCTCATCCCGCCCTCTTCCCTTTATCCAGGATACACATTCCTGTTTTCATCGAAAAGGAGAAAGCCAAATTATTGACTGCAATTGTTACAAGGTGAGTTTGATTTTCCGCTGTATTTTACTCTTTTGCAAGTTTATATTTTGTTTTTGGTTTTTTTATCGAAGAAATTTCGCCACAAGGTCACTTTATCCTTTAAGGTTGTCTCATCATTACGTGCCGTTGCGTGTATTGAAAGCAAAGGCGTACAAATGTTGTGGTGAATTTTTTATGTCGGTTAACATTTGTTCCTGATAGACACTAACGAAATCCTGATGAGATTTTGATTGTGTTCCTGTCTCTAAAGTACATATTCTACGTTCATAAACGAAGCGGCCAAATTACTGCTTCCACTGACAAACGAAAAACGTTTGTGGAACATTTTCAAGTAGTCGTTATGTTGTCAAACCGAGGAAAACAAAACGTTTTGTTTGTTTGATTATAAATGGTTTTATCAATTCTAATTGTGTCCTGCAGATGTTTTTGACTAAATTTTCAGCGAACCCGAATTATTTATTTTTAAAGGATTTTGATACGGGATTTAGAGTAATAGCTCCTGATAGTTTCAAAATAGGGCGTATGTTTCAACGTCATTCAAAACGATAAGAAAACAGAATCATTTAACGAATTTGACTGAGATTATCACTGTTATAAAATAGAAATTTAGTAGGAATTGAATATGCAAAATGAGAATCAGGGCTGGACTTAAAACAGCCGTATAAATTACGAAAAATTCTGATGCAATTGAGTGGTGACATTTTTGAAATACATGCAAGTCCTGTAATTTCGATCTACGAGTTATGTTTTATTTAAAGAAGTGATGCTTTAGAATATCCTGTACACCGTTTGTCTTTTATTATTGGAAAATGTCTCCTTTTTACGGTGTTTATTCTTTCATTATTAACGTTTCAAGAGCGTGATCGATATCAAATCAAATAACGCGGAGAATAACGTCGACCAAATCTAATAAATTTCAAAATCAATTTGTTTTTTGTCCCGGAGTGTTCACCATACTTGAGTATTCTTGGATTGATCTTTTAAAAAGTCGAGGAAAATTAAAATCGAAATTTTCCACGACGCATTTTCCTCTCTACTCTTTACACAAACAACAACACCAAGGACTAATAAAAAGCGTATCTTCTATGAATTTTTAATACTCCAAACAGTTAATTTTTTCATAAATGATACACTGCAAACTATTGTTTGTTTGTTGCTAGATAATTCGAAGATCACCGAATCAATATTTCTACAGTTTTCATTTTTTCAAGAAGTAGATATTCATAACTGTTATCATCTCAAGAATGATAAGATACCTGCTGTGACTTTTCTGCCTTTAATTGAAGAAGAAATTAGTTAATTGTCACGGGAGGTTTTTACTGTTGTAAAGGACATTTTGAGAAGGATTGAACGAATTACGTAAAAACCAGATCCGTACTCAGAAGTTCATATAGAATAAGATTGAAATATTGAAACTTTTAATGTCACAAAATGTTTTGTTTCGGTGCCCATATATACTCATGGCATAGAGAATGACGTTTCTATTGCACGTTATAGGGAGTGTTTGGTTGTAAACAGTATCGTTATAGGAAGTTGTGTTTTATGACCCTGATCATTTTAGATTGCTATTTCAATTGAGCAACATCTATTTTTATAATTAATAGATAAAGTCGAACTCGATTACATAAAATATTGGTGTCGTACTTTGATCGATCGATCACGCCAAGTTATTAAAGTAACTTTTTAGCATTCCGACTTCATTAATTCAAATTCTTCAAAGGCAGAATGTAAACTCCGCGTCAGCGAAAGTCCGAATAACTCGGGCTAACTTATTACCTAAAAAGTTTGGCCTGTAAATTCGTCCAGTTTTCTTGTTGTTTTTGTTTTACCAACCGCTGGGCTTTATTCCACTTACACATGCATTCAAACATATATCCTGAACGATAACTTTAATAATGAATTCCGAAGTTTGAGGAAAGTTTGGAAACTCGATTTTAAAATCTGTTGGAAATTGAAGCATGTGCGGGAACAAATTTTCATTGTAACGGCTTTCCCAACCTTCCTCGACTGTGCACAAAAACAATAGCGTGTATGTATTAACGAAATAAAAAGTTGCTCACTATAAGCGATTGGTTGCATTAAAAATATCAGGCTTGGCAGAAGGGGGGGACTGTCTTCGCCACATAGTCAATATCCTCTACGGACGTTTCGTGTTCTTTCTAGCTATATTTAAAACTTTCAGTTTGCAAAAACTAATTTAAAACCATACCTATGAAAACTGGGAAAGGAGGATCATAATATATACTGCGGGTGGTCACCAAAATGGGGAGGATTTATAAAAATGGGTCACGTAGTATGGGTACATTCCTTTAGGCAAGTACATAATACACAACCATTGTATGTAATAGCTTCTTTCTTCTATATTCATGTCTGTTTTTACTCAGTTTCGTCCCCCATTCCTTGGGTCTTCTGAATCCAGCCTATGCCTTCTCTTGATCCATAAATTATTTAGGTCTCGCTTCTTAGTCGTGTCCTGTGCAATTCTCTTTTATATATGTAGCCAGGTTTCTCTTACACGTTTACATACCCTGTATGTCTTTTGTCCTTCATTTAGTCAATACCTTTTTCCTTTCCATTCATTACAACATCTAACTATTGTTATCATCTTTACCTTGTTTTTCTTCCCATTCAGTTCTAAATACATACTTTGGTTTTGCGTCAGTCGTCCATCTCCTGTAGTCTTTCGCCAATGGAATCTCTTATTTGTTCCACCCTTGCTTCTCTCTTCTTTGCACTGAAAGTATTTCTTCATGTGTTGACTGTCTTTCCCTGTCAATTCTGTTACTTTTCATTTCCATTTGCTTGTTCTCCCTTTAGCCTTTATTTTTTCTTAGTATTTTAGCACTTGATACATTCCACTTCTATACATATTGGTTCTGTCCTAGTCTCTTCCAAGACAGTGTACTCTCTACTATCTAGGCTCAGTTCCACATTCTGTATCCAGGTTTTTCAGTAGTTTTCCGTCCCCAAATTTTAACTCCATACATAAAAATACTTTTCACCAGAATGTAAAGCATTACCAATTTCTTTTCCCGATCTCCACCAAATTTACTTTCTTCAATTCCTCATATATACTTGTGCCATGATTCCTGAGGTCTTCTTTGCAAGTTCTCTGATGTGTGCTTCATCCCCATTGCTTTTTTGCAAATATATATCTCAGATATTTGAATTCGTTTACTTCTTCTAGGTTCTCTTATTACAATTTCCATGATCTCTCAAAATGTTTTGGTGTTTTTCCTTTTGCTAAAACTCACAACCTTGGATTCTTCTTCTTTTCTCCATCATATTAGATTCAAGTCTGTTACGCCCGATAGGTATCACATATATCAAAAAGGTAAGATATCATTTCTACCCGGAACATTGAAATTTCGTCATAATATCAGCTTTGTCGTTACACCAGACGTCGTTATAAGCGTTATAAACAATAACGTTTCTTGTTACAGTGTTTGTTTTGTTCCAGAGGGAGAGTAAAGAACGGGGTGAGATTTATAAATGCAACGCCGAGCGAAGCGGCTTCCTCTTGGAACATAAGCGTGGAAATGAACCCTCGTCACACAGGGTTAACGGTCAGTGCGGTCAGGAAAGAATCCTCAACCTCCACGTCCGAAACTGCAACCGAGACCAATGCGGCGGCCGAGTGAGTATCATTAATAAAGTTAATTAAAAACCATACGAAAATGTAAATTGGATGCCTCCTCCCCTCATGTATGAAAACGCTTTTTTAATTACCCCCTCGCGCATTACGCACCACCAGATTAATTTTCATCCTGTAATCAGAAACCCCTAGTGCACCTAAATAATCTGCCACCATGATCTACTTAAATAACTACAATAATATTCCCAGTGAGACTAATCCTTATTTTTGTACAAGTCTTAATAGATTATGATCTATTTGGTCTAAGACTAACAACTACTTTACAAAAAATTATTTCAGTAGTCATGTAAGTCAGGAAAGCCAAAATAATTACCAGAGCTTTTAGTTAAAACCAAAGGACTATTTTAACCAGTGTTACAATTTTTATTTATTATTTGTTTGCATCTACATTAAGCCCATATATCAGCTTTTCGAATCATGTGGTCAATTAGCCATAAAAAGAAAAAAAAAATCGGTTGTCTGTAAAGTCGGTTTACTGACGATAGTTGAACGCGACAACGTCATAAGAAAATACTGATGGAATGGTTTCATTTTTCAAAAGAAAATTTTAATTTTATTTGTTTGATAGATATTTTGTATGGATATAGAGAAGGAGGTAAATGGAAATGTATTATTGTATAGCAGCTGTCCTCGCGGACGCATCGCTCACTCAAGTAGGAGAGAGACAGATGTCGAACGCTGCCGAACGCGGAGGCCGATTGTGCCTCTTTGTCGCTCGTTCCGCGCTCTCGCTTGCACTTCAAGCCTAAATGGAACGCCTCAAAGCGAGGTAACGCCGCATGAGTCATTTTTTTCGTGCGTGCAGCCGGCTCCATCGAATTATTGTCACGTCAAAAACAAAACACCAAAATCTTTCACTGTTTGTTCTTCTGATTGCATAAGTTATCCAGATTCAGATTGAGCTTTTGCAATAGTCACTCCCAACATAAATGTAGGTACTATGTATTTGTTAAAGTTTTATGTATAAAAAAGAATTAACCGAAAGGTGACATTTTTCGTCACTGCTAGTTGAGTTAACATTAGAACGTTATTATAAGATGTTTTTTGTGTTCAATAGTTCGGCAGCTCATGTATTACTTTTCGTATTGGAACAGAATAGGTACAAAAATGCTTGAAATATGTTTGGCAAAATAACAGGTTGGCAAATGACAGGTTAAAAAAATGACTACATTAGCTACATATACGCACGTTTATTAGCTTTTCAACGTGAAATATTAGCTCTATCGATTACCCTGTTCTTTATTGCCTTCACCGTGGGGTAAAACCTAATAAATTAAGGGCGAACAAAACTGAGCCCGCCTACCTATGGATACACATATTACAAAGCGATTTTTTCTGTTCGTTTTTTTTTTTTTAATACATTCTGTTGTTTGCAAAATAAATAATAATGAGAATAATTAAAACGACAGTTTATTTTGTAGGTCAAATAAGAACGTATTAAACCCCTGTGTATTATACTGTTGTGCTTTTTTATAGTATATACTGAGCGAATGTTGAAGGAAAACCAAAAATCGGCATTGAATTTTTTATTTTTAAAATTGCTGTTGTAAAATGGCTTAAATATTTATGCAAAAAATAATATTTAATTTTGGAGCATAAATGTAGCAATAGATTTCATGTGCTCGCATTGAAAACCATTTTAATCGATTAAAGGAAGCTGCTGTTATTACTAATTTATGGTTGTGTGAGTTTCTCCAAAAGCTCATCGAAGAAAAATCCTCGCGCGCTCAATAAAACGTACCAAAAACAATTGCCAGATTATTTATAATGTATACGATATATTAGAACCAAATTCATGAAAAACAAACGTCTGGGATTTATTCTTACATTAACCAGGATTGGATTTTTTGGGATACACGGTGTCTAACTGTTTACCTATTCAATTTTAAGATTCATTAATATAAATCGACAGAACTTTCGGAATCTTTTATGGTTAATTTCCCTGATGATGATTGACTCTTTGGTAAATGGAATAAATCGGGTCTAGTTGTTGCAAATCGAAAATCCAAGCAAAATTTCGATAAGTTTTACGTTTGGAACACAGTGCCTAGAATTGACGCTATTTTTGTCAGTGTTGGGATTAATTATTTTAAGTCACAAATGATGCAACTCGAAATAAGTAAAATAGAAATCGCTAGAAGTTTTAGACATAATTCTTCTGCTGTCTTACACTTTTTTGGGAAGGTGATATTTTATTCAATTACTAATCAATGTCGTAACGAGTTTTCGTGAACCGGTGATCAAAGCAAATTTTCTGATGTTCGATGCATAATTTTTCGGATTTAAAGACCCGATGAAAACTGGTGCAGTGTCGATACGGAATTCTAATTAAAAATAAAAACTTTGTCGTCTAAAAGTCTACGAGTCTAGTCAAAGGCGTCGTCGACCTCGTTAGATATAAAATCGATATTAACTGCCTGGCGCCATAAGCAACAATCTGTGAATTAGTGGCATATTTGTGCCGAGAGTTTTATTACCAAGAAATGAAATTCTATTTCATTCATGGAATTTTCACTGCCGACAAGTGCTATCGACATTAACCGAGTGTAAACCTCGTAACTGCTTTTCCACGATAAAAGTGTTTTTCCCCACTTTGATTTCCTACACTTATTTAGGTTGTTGATTAATCAGACACATGTCTGTGAAGTTGTAAGATTATGAAAACTTTTAGAGATTTAGCATATGGACGTAAAAATTTTAATGTCCAGTCCAAGAAGAGGTCAGCCAGTGAACTTGCTTTGAAATGATTAGTATTTTAGTTCCTTCAACAAAATGAATATTGTCCAAAGACTTTTAGACACACACCTTCACTCCTTGGTATCCTGAAACAATCTCCTCATTTTCTGAAATGCAGAACATCCCACATCCTCAAATAAGTATTCTAATGTAGGTCTTCCTCCACTTTACTTCTTATCATTGTCTAAATTGTCCCTCATATTTACTATATCTTCCTTTCCTTATTGATTCACATGACTCTCTCTGTTCTATTATCCACTGTACTTTAATCCAAATGTATATTTTTGCTTTTGTGTTTTATATCTATACATTATGAGTTATCTGACTTCCTAGACAGCAAATATCAGCAAGTTCTAAGTTTTTTGTCCCCAATTAGTGGTTAAAAGTTGAAAATTTGTTTTTAGCTTGTTTCTCTCAAGAGTAGTTGCGATGAAAGTATACTTTTTGAGACTGTATTTCTGCATTCATTTTGATAAGAATCGTGTACTATTTAGGTCAGGACTGAACATTGTACGTGACCGTTTTTACATACCGTATCTAAAGGAAATTGGGAGCAATGCTGCATATTTTCTAAGCAATCGTCAACTTGAACAAAACGAACAAATTTCTGCCCTCGTTTCTCATCTAATGACACACGCCCGGCGCTGACTCTAGTATTTATTTAGTAAGGATTCGCCTTGTGGTGCCGATCCTCCTCTTTCCAATTAAGGGTGCATCGTGGAGGTTTCCATGTTACGCGTACAAAGAAGCACCCTTCTCCATTTCCTCGAACATTCTCCACGTTTCGTCTTCTAACAAGTGAATCTCCGTAATTTGCAGAGTAATTGAGTTGTTCACGTTGCTGGTGGAAATTAGCGAGGATGCAGCCGAGGGTTACGACGGTGCGAAAGTCGTCTGGTCTACTAGGGTTGAACCCTCTGCCGAAGAAAGCGATATTCCAGATTCGCACAGGGCCGATGGTAGGAAAACTACCACCAAATTCGAAATTCAAAAGGACGATATCCAAGCAGTCGTGCCGATTAGCAAGGTAACAAAAACTGCAATATTGGTCGTGGTTGCTGTTGTCACCTCTCGTAGTTTAGTGGTCAGAACATTGGTGCGTAAAGCCAAAGGTCCCGGGTTCGATTCCCGGCGGGGGTGTAACAACAGCAACAATTTTTCCATCATTAATTTGAGGTAGCGTGTAGTGGGTAAATTAAACTAACTCCCTTCGAAAAGATGTCTAAATTGTATGTATGTTTAAAAACTGCAATACTCAAAAATAACGACTTACATATTTAAAGTGCAGATCGCTTTAAACCCACTTCCGGATGTAATTAATCGTCTTTGTCTAGTGGAAATGAAATTGTCGGGCGATTTATTATTGTTCCATAATGACAAAGTTGAAGCAGAAGGTCTTCGAATTTATGGCAGAATATGTTTCTTGTTGGCATGAAAACCAGTTTAGTAAACAACTGCGATTAACTGGAGTAACGAAGAGAGTCGTGGCAATTAGGCCCGAGGAGATAAGCTTCTGCAATCTATGTGTACCCGATAGTTAAGCAAATTGCGAAATGTATGCATACTTGCAACTTCTTTTTAATCATCGCGCGTTCCACGGTTAATTAAGGAAGTTTAATTAGCGCTCCAGTTATCGCTTTCTTTTTATTGGTTGATACGTAATAAAAACGGCAACCGATGCAACTCTTTCAATTTAGCTGTGCGATGTTTGACACCAAAAAGTTACTATTTGAACTATTTGTTTGCTTCTCCTTTAGAACTGGGAAGTTTTAAATACGGCCGTTTTAACTGGTCGTCAAGTTTCCCAAGCAATGAAAGTTTTAATAGTTTCCCAAGCGGGAAAGGCAGCCGATGTTACATTTCAGGCGTCATGCCATTCGGAAGATGACAGCGTCTTAAAGGTAAGAAAAAACGAATCAAATAAGAACATCCATTCAAAGTATGATAGTAAAAGTTCGCAACTACTAACTCAAATTGTACAAAGGACATCCACGTTTCCCAAAAACAAAGTCTAAAGTACAACAGAAATTTTCGAAATTGTTAGGTGTCTTCGTCGTGTAGTTCAGTTTACGTCGATGGGAGTGAGGCTAGGGGTTCGGTAAACGGGTCGGTACTTGTAAAATATGGTACGTACACGGGTTTGGCTCGATTCACAGTGTGGATGCCAGAGTTCCCTTTAGATCTTCAAGTACCAGACACCAGGTTGTCCCAAGTGAAATCTTGGAGAGTTCCCGACTTTCACAACAGGTAAAGAAATCGTACCCTATCAGTTTAGTTATCGCAATTAGCCACACGTAATTGTAGTGGAAAATCGCGAAGGAGAAGAAAAAAACGATCTTATACTAACTGGGGAGCAACAGGTTATAGCCCAGACGACATAGGGAACGGTATAGATAGGGCATCTTGTCGCTTGAGATACCAGCAAAGTCCTGTGGATGTCTTCGCCCATTTTATGGCCAGCGACCACGACACCGGCAGAATAACGTATCTTGTTAACAGAAGAACTTGGCTGCGGGTCACAGATTTAGTTCTGCCACTTCTAAGAGTCAGCGACCCGAGAATTGCCAGTCTACATGGTCGCATATTGCAAGGGAGGAGCATGGGGAGAACGGAAGTGCAGGTAAATTGATCTTATTTAAAATATCTCTCGAGGACTTTTGCGAAAGAGCGAAACACTTTAAGGTTTTGTCTCCGATAACTGGTCGAGTGATTGGGGCAAAGGAAATCCGTGTGGGCAACGACAAGGTGGGCATATCAAAGCTGGCAGTGCAAGTAGTATCTGGTCTTCAGTTGAGCATTACACCTGATACTTCAGTTGAGAACAGCTACATGGCAGAGACGAGTGTAACCAGAAAATTAACTGCCCAGTATCAGGTAAAGTCCATGTCAGTTTTGGAGTGGTGTTTTTTATTGAAATTTGACTCATAGGAAGGGCTTCTTGATATCGAAATCGAATTCTCTGATGGCAGCAAAACACCACTACGTGAGGTGGCCGATACAGATTACCACCTGGTGGTAGAAAGTCTCGATCCGGAAGTGGTGGCTTTTGCTCCAATGGTCGCTTCTCATCACCCTCGAGTGATTGCAGTGGGAGAGGGCAGTGGAGATCTTTTGCAGGTCACCCTGCTTCTATCTGAAGAATGTCGGACGTTCTCCAGACCGAAACACAAAGGCATCGGACCTTTGGCCACCGCAACTGCTTCGGTTACTGTGGACTTCAGCGTCGGAGATTTACCTCATAGACCCGATATACTTCAGAACGACGGAGGATCGTATGGTAACTCAAAAGTTCGAGACTTTACAGATTTGCGAGATATACTTAAAGGTAATATTAAACGAAATTTACTAACAGTGATGAAGGCACTAAATATTTTGATTTAGGACCGCCTGTTAAAGATGACAACAGCCATCAGCCCAACGTTCAAGCACGGCAACACAAAGGGTCACATCATACCGCTTCCCACATGACACCTTTGGAGATCAGCATGTATGTTTTACTAGCAGCGTTCTGCTTTGCGATTGTGGTAAGGCGATGCCAAAAAATGCGACCTTCTTTTTGTAATAGATGAGGAGGTTTTTTATTAGATCTTCGTGGCTTCCTGCGTCGTTTATGCATCAAAATTCAAGCCGGTGGAGTCCAGTTTGGGAGGACTGAACCCTATGCCCATACCCACGGGAAATTTCCGCGAGAGGAAACCCAGGGAGACCACCACAAACGCACACGACTGGGTGTGGTTAGGTAAGGAGCGATATTACCACTTGCTGGAAGGGGCCATTTGCAAATACTTTTCGAATTTATCACTTGGTATAGTTGGTAGATGTGTGTATTTAGATTTTTTCGTAGGTCGGTCGACGATGGACATGAACTCTAACAGGTCATCGGCGGTTATTAACAATAATGAAATGAGAATAACAGCCAACCCATTGAACCTCAATTATTGCGAACCAGACGACTGCGTTCCCTCCAGTTTTAGCAATCCCACTCACATCGAGTTACCCAGTCGTTCTGCTGCCGAAAACCAGAACCAACAAGTAGATTCCACCACGTACTGCAAGAGCAAACGTAGCGGTTTAATCTTCAGTTCCAGTACAACTAGCAACGACAATGAGCCGAACGTTTGGTACGTTTTGTTTTCAGAAATGAATATCAATATATCTAGTAATTATCCATCAGGAACAAACCAACTCCTCCGCCTCCTCTACCTCCACACGGTTCTCCACTTTTGGCTGCTGAGAGGCTGAAGGAGCAGCAGCAACAGCAGGAAGCAAACGGAAACGAGGATTATCGTCCACCCATTCCACCTCACAGGAACGTATGCATAAGTGCACGAAACACATCAATCGTAGAGTCATCTCCTCCAAGAAAACACCATCATCATCACAGGAACAGCAGGCACCAGCAGGACAGGGACAAGGACAAGGACAGCAAATATTACAACAACAATCACAGTCGAGAATCCCGTTACCAAAATGACAACGCCAAAAGGGAACCGAGAGCGCACAGCGTCGAGAACAGATACTACCAGAAGAAGGACGAAGCAAGTGGTGTGTCGGAAAAAAAGCCGTTCAGGAGGAGTTATCACGACGATTATTTTAATAAGGAATTGAAAACAAACGCTTTTGAGTTCGACGATATGCCTCCAGAATCGGAAAGCCGTGGAAAAAAGGAACAGCAGGACCTTCTGAAGGTAGAGGGAGGAGATGATAATGCCCAATTCGTTTCCCAGTTAAATGGTACGTACTCATCGATGTCCAAAGAAAAATAATAATTAAAAATAAACGTCTGTTTAAGGTAACAACAGTTCCGAAGTGAAAAGGGCAACTATAGTGGGAAATCCGATGTTCAGTGCGGAGGATTTGAACAAAGAAGAAATAAATACGGAACTATCGGGTCTAGAAGAACTGGGAATGGACTACGAACAAATTATGCACTACTTCAAAAATTTAAAGGTCAGTAAATAAACTTGCTCCACCTTTCTTTTGCAGGGGATCCACAGACAAAGGTAAAACTTCTTTTCTAAAATTCATTCATTGCGTGTATGTCTTTAGGAATCCAACGCCTGAGTAGAGCAGATCATTGCAAAAATCCAAGACATTCTGTTGTCTTTCAGCGAACAGTACAGAGCAAGTGCGCTTAATGGCAACTTTCCTAGCTTGCAACTTACCACCCTCACCTCCAAGAACAACGTCAATAATAACAACAACAACAACAATAGCACCATTGATTATTTTTCTTATTACTATTTCGGCGAACTCGACGCTTAATAAGGTAAAAATCGTCCATGTTGAACTGTTAGATGTAGATGTCAATTAAAAGTAGCCTTCTGCCACTGTATTACTGTCCTCCGTTGTTTTCGACGGCTTTTTAGCAAGCAAGACTGACTGATTGTAGTTGTTTTTGGGTTATCATATCATTTTTGAGCAATATCTGATTGGGGGACGTAAATAAATGGTCCTTTTTTTGGTACATCTACTGAACTTGAACTGAACGGGACACACTTACGTTAGCAGCCAAGAGTTGTGTAGGTCGAAATTAGAACTAGAGAAAGGGATGAGTTTTGGTAATATTGGTAGAGAGACAAACGGAAATCCAAATGGGGAAGGGAAAAATATAGTAAGGGTCCCAAATTTTTGTTACATTTAGGAACCACACACTATTAAAAGCACAATAAATTGACCCTAAACTAACTATAAGAATTTTAATTATCAATTTATCAGCAAGTTGAGTTAACTTTTTCGACTTTTAATAAGTTTTTGGTAATATCATGGTCATTAATTAAACATGAGTAGTCACCCCCTACTCTGGTCCCCCCCATTGGATTTCCTTTCACCTTTTCAACATTAAGTACCGATAACTTTGGAAGACGCACTTACCTTATGGGTGGCAGTAAAAAGGTGACAATTGAATTAGGGAAGCAGCAGTATTATTAACGTGACCCTCCACCCTCCAAACAAAAAAAAGGTACTTCACCACGACATAATAAGCGTTCAACTTTCAGTATCTTAAGAAGAGATAGAAGATAGAAAGCTAGTAGTTATTTTTTCAGAAATCTTGAGCCCACTTTTCCACCAGTTAGTACTACCTACTTTTAAGTACTTATACATATAACATCTATCCCACCAAATAAACGAATAGAGGAATGACGGATATTTGCAATGATCAATAAATATCAGTAATCAATAGTAATAATCGTAAGATGAAAAAGAAAGGAAATGATGAAACAATACGTCTATCTAGTCATACTAATTTAGCTTTATATAATTTTATGAGGTACTTAATACCACANAATGAATTCCGAAGTTTGAGGAAAGTTTGGAAACTCGATTTTAAAATCTGTTGGAAATTGAAGCATGTGCGGGAACAAATTTTCATTGTAACGGCTTTCCCAACCTTCCTCGACTGTGCACAAAAACAATAGCGTGTATGTATTAACGAAATAAAAAGTTCCACACTGTAAGCGATTGGTCGCTTTAACCGCAACCATTCTAAACAGATCGAAGTGTATCTTTTTCCATCTGAAAACCAAGCAATTTAAGGGAACATACCCATATTACTTAACCCGTTTTTCTACAATTTTTAGCCCCCCCCCCTCCCATCTTGGTGACCACCCATAGCAATATGTGTCAATACCTCTCCTTCCCCTCTAGTTTTCACATAGTAATTCATAAATATGCTTTCTCAAGATTTTTTTGCAAACAAACGTTTTGAACATAATTCAAAAAAAGCGCGAGAGGATATTGACTACTTGACGAAGACCTAAGCCTACCAGAGCCTTTGACCAAGGGTGGTAGTTTTTAAGAACCCCCTCCTCCTGACGGGTCAGATAGTATTAGTATGTTCCCTAATACAGTAATATAATAAACGAAATGGTGTTACATGAAGTAATTAAAAGCGACTGCCACTGTATTCAGTATTATTCGCTTGGCTACTTTATTCAATTTACAGTGATATCGTTTGTAGCATTGTCTGAAGAATCGATAAGATTTGGTCGTTATATCCAAACACGATAATAATGTGTTAAGTACTTAAAAATATGCACGTAAATTTTCCCCATGCAATGTATGAGGTTTGACCTGTACTAAACTATGGGGAACGTGCCCATACTGCATAGGTGACCTTTAAGGGCGGAAGGGGGGTTTTCAAAAATATCAGGCTTTGTCAGAAGGGGGGAAGGTCTTCACCACATAGTCAATATCCTCTACGGATGTCTCGTGTTCTTTCTAGCTATATTTAAAACTTTCTGTTTGCAAAAAATAATTTAAAACCATACTTATAAAAACTATGGAAGGAGGATCATAATATATACTGCGGGTGGTCACCAAAATGGGGAGGATTTATAAAAATGGGTCACGTAGTATGGGTACATTCCTTTAGGCAAGTACATAATACACAACCATTGTATGTAATAGCTTCTTTCTTCTATATTCATGTCTGTTTTTACTCAGTTTCGTCCCCCATTCCTTGGGTCTTCTGAATCCAGCCTATGCCTTCTCTTGATCCATAAATTATTTAGGTCTCGCTTCTTAGTCGTGTCCTGTGCAATTCTCTTTTATATATGTAGCCAGGTTTCTCTTACACGTTTACATACCCTGTATGTCTTTTGTCCTTCATTTAGTCAATACCTTTTTCCTTTCCATTCATTACAACATCTAGCTATTGTTATCATCTTTACCTTGTTTTTCTCTGTAGTCTTTCGCCAATGGAATCTCTTATTTGTTCCACCCTTGCTTCTCTCTTCTTTGCACTGAAAGTATTTCTTCATGTGTTGACTGTCTTTCCCTGTCAATTCTGTTACTTTTCATTTCCATTTGCTTGTTCTCCCTTTAGCCTTTATTTTTTCTTAGTATTTTAGCACTTGATACATTCCACTTCTATACATATTGGTTCTGTCCTAGTCTCTTCCAAGACAGTGTACTCTCTACTATCTAGGCTCAGTTCCACATTCTGTATCCAGGTTTTTCAGTAGTTTTCCGTCCCCAAATTTTAACTCCATACATAAAAATACTTTTCACCAGAATGTAAAGCATTACCAATTTCTTTTCCCGATCTCCACCAAATTTACTTTCTTCAATTCCTCATATATACTTGTGCCATGATTCCTGAGGTCTGTTCTGATGTGTGCTTCATCCCCATTGCTTTTTTGCAAATATATATCTCAGATATTTGAATTCGTTTACTTCTTCTAGGTTCTCTTATTACAATTTCCATGATCTCTCAAAATGTTTTGGTGTTTTTCCTTTTGCTAAAACTCACAACCTTGGATTCTTCTTCTTTTCTCCATCATATTAGATTCAAGTCTGTTACGCCCGATAGGTATCACATATATCAAAAAGGTAAGATATCATTTCTACCCGGAACTTTGAAATTTCGTCATAATATCAGCTTTGTCGTTACACCAGACGTCGTTATAAGCGTTATAAACAATAACGTTTCTTGTTACAGTGTTTGTTTTGTTCCAGAGGGAGAGTAAAGAACGGGGTGAGATTTATAAATGCAACGCCGAGCGAAGCGGCTTCCTCTTGGAACATAAGCGTGGAAATGAACCCTCGTCACACAGGGTTAACGGTCAGTGCGGTCAGGAAAGAATCCTCAACCTCCACGTCCGAAACTGCAACCGAGACCAATGCGGCGGCCGAGTGAGTATCATTAATAAAGTTAATTAAAAACCATACGAAAATGTAAATTGGATGCCTCCTCCCCTCATGTATGAAAACGCTTTTTTAATTACCCCCTCGCGCATTACGCACCACCAGATTAATTTTCATCCTGTAATCAGAAACCCCTAGTGCACCTAAATAATCTGCCACCATGATCTACTTAAATAACTACAATAATATTCCCAGTGAGACTAATCCTTATTTTTGTACAAGTCTTAATAGATTATGATCTATTTGGTCTAAGACTAACAACTACTTTACAAAAAATTATTTCAGTAGTCATGTAAGTCAGGAAAGCCAAAATAATTACCAGAGCTTTTAGTTAAAACCAAAGGACTATTTTAACCAGTGTTACAATTTTTATTTATTATTTGTTTGCATCTACATTAAGCCCATATATCAGCTTTTCGAATCATGTGGTCAATTAGCCATAAAAAGAAAAAAAAAATCGGTTGTCTGTAAAGTCGGTTTACTGACGATAGTTGAACGCGACAACGTCATAAGAAAATACTGATGGAATGGTTTCATTTTTCAAAAGAAAATTTTAATTTTATTTGTTTGATAGATATTTTGTATGGATATAGAGAAGGAGGTAAATGGAAATGTATTATTGTATAGCAGCTGTCCTCGCGGACGCATCGCTCACTCAAGTAGGAGAGAGACAGATGTCGAACGCTGCCGAACGCGGAGGCCGATTGTGCCTCTTTGTCGCTCGTTCCGCGCTCTCGCTTGCACTTCAAGCCTAAATGGAACGCCTCAGAGCGAGGTAACGCCGCATGAGTCATTTTTTTCGTGCGTGCAGCCGGCTCCATCGAATTATTGTCACGTCAAAAACAAAACACCAAAATCTTTCACTGTTTGTTCTTCTGATTGCATAAGTTATCCAGATTCAGATTGAGCTTTTGCAATAGTCACTCCCAACATAAATGTAGGTACTATGTATTTGTTAAAGTTTTATGTATAAAAAAGAATTAACCGAAAGGTGACATTTTTCGTCACTGCTAGTTGAGTTAACATTAGAACGTTATTATAAGATGTTTTTTGTGTTCAATAGTTCGGCAGCTCATGTATTACTTTTCGTATTGGAACAGAATAGGTACAAAAATGCTTGAAATATGTTTGGCAAAATAACAGGTTGGCAAATGACAGGTTAAAAAAATGACTACATTAGCTACATATACGCACGTTTATTAGCTTTTCAACGTGAAATATTAGCTCTATCGATTACCCTGTTCTTTATTGCCTTCACCGTGGGGTAAAACCTAATAAATTAAGGGCGAACAAAACTGAGCCCGCCTACCTATGGATACACATATTACAAAGCGATTTTTTCTGTTCGTTTTTTTTTTTTTAATACATTCTGNGGAAACTCGATTTTAAAATCTGTTGGAAATTGAAGCATGTGCGGGAACAAATTTTCATTGTAACCGCTTTCCCAACCTTCCTCGACTGTGCACAAAAACAATAGCGTGTATGTATTAACGAAATAAAAAGTTGCTCACTATAAGCGATTGGTTGCATTAAAAATATCAGGCTTGGCAGAAGGGGGGGACTGTCTTCGCCACATAGTCAATATCCTCTACGGACGTTTCGTGTTCTTTCTAGCTATATTTAAAACTTTCAGTTTGCAAAAACTAATTTAAAACCATACCTATGAAAACTGGGAAAGGAGGATCATAATATATACTGCGGGTGGTCACCAAAATGGGGAGGATTTATAAAAATGGGTCACGTAGTATGGGTACATTCCTTTAGGCAAGTACATAATACACAACCATTGTATGTAATAGCTTCTTTCTTCTATATTCATGTCTGTTTTTACTCAGTTTCGTCCCCCATTCCTTGGGTCTTCTGAATCCAGCCTATGCCTTCTCTTGATCCATAAATTATTTAGGTCTCGCTTCTTAGTCGTGTCCTGTGCAATTCTCTTTTATATATGTAGCCAGGTTTCTCTTACACGTTTACATACCCTGTATGTCTTTTGTCCTTCATTTAGTCAATACCTTTTTCCTTTCCATTCATTACAACATCTAACTATTGTTATCATCTTTACCTTGTTTTTCTTCCCATTCAGTTCTAAATACATACTTTGGTTTTGCGTCAGTCGTCCATCTCCTGTAGTCTTTCGCCAATGGAATCTCTTATTTGTTCCACCCTTGCTTCTCTCTTCTTTGCACTGAAAGTATTTCTTCATGTGTTGACTGTCTTTCCCTGTCAATTCTGTTACTTTTCATTTCCATTTGCTTGTTCTCCCTTTAGCCTTTATTTTTTCTTAGTATTTTAGCACTTGATACATTCCACTTCTATACATATTGGTTCTGTCCTAGNAGGAATTCACAAAACTAACTCATTATATGAATTTTACAACTCAAAGTGTGTATTAACTTCAGTGACTTATGATGTGTTATAGGTCTCCAAATTGTCTAATTTTAGCAGTAAAAGACATTCTTAATGCAACATGAGGTAGTAATTTATTGAACATACTGTTAAGAATCAAAAATCAGCTGCAAGTAAGTATCTGACTGCACCAATGGATTCTACAGAAGATTCACCAGTATCTCCAAAGGGGCCCCCTTCTCAACCACCTCCTAGTTTACCACCCCCATTACCTGAGGTAAACCACTTTAATTTGTTTAAATTAATTGCAATAATTGTCATATGTACTTTAAGAGGCCTCCAAAGAAACATGGTTCTGTAACTAGTCCAAAAAGCCCTGAAGATTATAAAGCAGATAATGAGATGATAGAATTAGATGAAGAGACATCACAGCAGATGACAACATCATACAGTGAGATCTCCTTCAAGTCAGGAATGAGTCCTGAAACTGAAGTTTCTTTATCATTAACAATGGATTCAATACCATCTGCTGATCATATTCTGCAAAGACCTATTTCTTTAGCATATGATACAAATAATATAGGCAAACCGTTACTACCTCTAAACTCTGAAGGGACTGTTCATGTAGAAGGAAACATGACCCATTTTGTTACAGAAGATTTGGAATATAAAATTAAAATATCAAGTCCTGTATCAAAATTTTCAGGTGTATCATTATTGTATAAAGTATTTAAGATCTATAAAGTGTGATTTTTAGGGAACTCAAAGTCAGGAACTCCAAGCTATACCCAAAAAGGTCTTTTGATGACATCAGTGAGTAGTTTGGATCCAAATATTTTAAATGATCTTGAATTTGAAGCACAGAAAATTGCCACTTCTGTGGATATATAAATGTGTAAAAAGAGATATTGCACAAAACATTGTTCCTAATAATAACTTTTTGCTTTTTAACGAACGGAAAACGGCGCAGATTTATCATGTTATTTGTAAAGATACCAAATATCTTCTCTGTTATTATTTAATTGATTAATTAATGATAATTAACTTCCATTAATGGTATGTAGGCACTCGTAATACGACAGAATTTCTTCGTAGGTACATAGTATTGTTAATTTATTTGTTTTTTTTCTTGTTTCTGAAGTATTATCTGTCTAATTTATTATTGCATTTTGCCAATAGGACCGCGAAAAGTTATCAGAAAAAAAAACAGAAATGAAAGAAAGATTTTTTTTTTCGTGTAAGCATTTGTGTATTTATGTAAATATGGAATACTGTAAATTATTATCATTATTATTACTAATTAACGACTGATAACTCTATTAAATACAAAGAGGAACGAAAACAAAAAAAAAACAAGATATACAGGGTGTCCCACCCAATTGAACCTAGTCCCCCTCAGTACCACAAAAAGTATTTTATTTTAGCCTTTATTCTGATGTTATTACTAGGGGAACTGCTTTTGAAGTGTATGGGACGAACACCCTGTACATAAATATATGTATAGATGTCATGTTTTTTTGATTATTATTACGGTCCTGAAAAATTCTCGCTTCTGGTGTTAAATGTGTTTAGGGATTTTATAAGTGTTATTATTAGAGTAACTTCTGGAAATAGCAACAAAAATATTAATTAAAAGAATTAAACTTAATAAGCGAAAATACCTCTTCACATCCGACATTTAAAGCCATGTGCGATGCCATAGTTGTATGTAATAATTATAATAATAACATAATATCGCTGATTCTAGTCCACAACGTTTCGATAAAGCTTAAGAATTAATTACATACCTACGTTCAATAATTACAATACTTAAATGGCTTGAGCTCTTTATTATACCGGATGCGTGCATAGAAAATTATACATCACACAAAACGATTTATTTCTGTAATATCTAACTGTATTATGTACTACATATATTTAATTTCTGTGCGCGCATTATTCCCAAGTGTACTCCTAATGTGTGTGCTAATAATTAATAAATATACCTTCGGTAAAAAAAGTAATGTTTGCACGTTTTACGATAATAAAAAAGTTGATATTCGGTTTTGTGTAATAATACATATAATAATAATAATTAAATCGATGACATTTCAACCTCTATAATAAATAATTTACAAATAAACAAAAAAAGAAGCTTACATCCGCAAATACAACCGATACTGAAGTACGCGTTGCTTTATCGTTCCTTATATAGCTGTCTATCGTGCGTTCTATTGGTTGAATTACAACAACTAAAAACTCGCTGATTGGTTAAGTTGTTCAGAAGTCTCTAGATTAATTTAAGCGTTAAAATGATAGGCTATTTTCGTTACAAGGCTGTATGTTTTATTTTAAAGTGATTGAAGTAACTGTATGTACATTCTTTTTGTTTTTTTTAATAAGCGAATCGTATTTCAGTATTTATTTGTGCTTAGAGTGCGTGGTTAATGTTTTTATTTTATTTTATTTTTTTCGAAAAGCTCAATTAGCAAACTGCGATGTTAAAGAAATCGTCCGATAATTAATGGGTGATTAAAAAAAAATTTTGTATGGGTGTACACAATAGCATACCATTTCTAGATGTATACAAAACATTCCATAATAGTATCCTCAAAAAAAAACAAAGTTAATGTATAATATATGTTGTAACTGTTTTTTTGTCTGCATATTTTTTGTTTAACTTTTGAACAATTTTCTTTGAACTTTACCAAAGCTATTAAATTGAATACGTAATAAAAACAAATAATAATGACTAGAGACCAAAGAATTTTCGAAGTTTTTTTGTACAAACCTTGCAGTATTTTATTACAAGTATTAAATATTCCAGATATGCAGATAAAGATACAATATTATCACAGTTCATTGTTTCTGTTATTAATTAACCAAAATAGGTCCTGCTTGAATTTATATAGACTGGTGTAAATGTATATAACTCTCAAGTTACCAAAAATAAAAAAGTATTTCTAATGGTTGTAGTGGTTTATTTTGCCTGCTTTAAAACTCAAAAGAAAAACAGCAAATGAACTTAATAGAAACTTTTATTAACTACAATATTTATACATACTTGCCAAACCATTTTAGATCAGTAGGTGATAAATAGTTATGACAACCACCCATATTATTTTGAATAATGTATTTTAGTGTATAACGGTTTAAATTATTCTTCTCTTCCCATTCTTCCTTAGCTTTCATTTCATCCAGTATTTCTTGAGACACTGCCATAGCTTTAAAAGGGAGCTTCATTGCAATATCATGAAGAAAATCTTTTACTTCTGCATATTCACATTTTCCTCCTACTTCTAAAATTATTCTCTCTGAAAAACAAAAATAAACAATAATTAAAGATCTTTTATCAGTGACAGACAACACCCACTTGCTTTTACTGGCGTTACATAATGATCTATGGCCCCTTTTCCACCACCCATTCGATGCCCCTGTCCTTTTTTAGTCATTGGCTGCCAGGGTGAGTCTACCCTCCATATAGCAAACATACGATCAGTGTCTATTTTCCTACCAATTGTTAGCCTCATCATTTCAAAGTGTCCATATTTTATTCGTCCCCCACTTAGTGCCTAAATCCAAGAATTTTTAATTATTTTGCTAATATAGTTAACTATTAGAGACGATCACACCATAATTCCATACTGTTTGTGGAGTAAAAAATTATGAACTTCTTCTTCCCCTCGCATATATCTAAGACGCTTTTGCATTTTGGGGGGTTTAATGTTCGATGGCAAAGCAGGAACTCTCTCCATTACTCTTAGTTTTTGTCTTTCGGGGATCACAATATCTAGAGAATAATAAGAAATAAAAGATACCTAAAATAAGTAAAAAAACTGAATTGTACTTACTATCATAATTTGGTGGAGGAGGAAAATATCTAATACCACATACTTGTAGCCAGCCTACCTGTCTTGAGGCTAAAATTGGCAAAATAAATTATTTTAACCTAAAAATAACTGAATAAAAATACCTGTGGTAAGTAATAATTGAAACTTTGTAGACATCATTTTAACAATAATTGATTAACTATAAATAATTTATCAATGTTTCAGAAATAATTAAAACATATCTACAACATATTATTATTAACCTCTTTAACCTAAAACTTATCTATGACTCTATGTAAATCTATTATCTATATCTATGACCAAAAAAAATTGTTTAAATTTTAACTCAGTGGTGATTGTGGCTAAGGTATACAATATCGACTGTTATTAATAAANACTTACACCAATACAGTAATCATAAAACTAAGGGGTCGAAAATGTTGAACGATGATTATATACCGTTTATATTACAAAAGCTTTTAGGTTAAGTAGATAAACAGCTGTGCTTTAAATTCCAAGTAACATTGTTTTTTATTTTTTGTTAATAAATAATGTAATATTTAATTTAAATGTGATTTAAAGATACGCTATCGCCTCTATTTATAACTCCAAACAGTTATTCATACATGTTGCATAAGTGTTAGAAGAAAAATTTAAGTGCAGTATTTTCGAAAATGGAAACGTCTTCGAGCAGTGACTGGTTTCAAGCAAAACTTTTGGGAAATGGAAGCTTTGGCATCGTTTCTTTGTGGAAAAATAAAAAAACTGGCGACAAATTAGGTACTTTTGCATTTAATTATCCTTTCTTGAGATTGAACTTATCCTGTATGCTTTCACTCTTTTATTAACACTTTAGCAATAAAAACATGCAAAATGAATTTACTATCAAATCTTACTCCAAGACAAATAGAAAGATGGGAACTTGAAGTATCAATTATGAAAAATATATCTCACAAAAACATAGTTGCATTTCATGATTTATCTCCAGCTTTAAATCAGCAACTTCTAAAACATAATCCCACTGGATTACCAATAATGTCAATGGAGTACTGTGAAAAAGGAAACCTTAGAAGTCAGCTGAATATGATAGAAAATTCGTGTGGCTTATTTGAGCAAGAAGTTCGAGAAATATTACAAGATATATCACAAGCACTCAAATATTTGCATATCAAAAGAATTACTCATCGTGATGTGAAGCCAGAAAATATAGTTCTTCAACTATATAATCACAGAAAATCTGCTACAATATACAAACTGATTGATTTAGGATATGCCAAAGAAATAACAGGAACAGCTAGTTTTGTGGGTACTCTCCAATATTTGGCTCCAGAAATTTTTCATAATGACAAATACAGTCATGTGGTGGATTATTGGTCCTTTGGGATAACAACTTTTGAAATTATCTGTGGTTTTAGGCCATTTGATGTACCCCACATGACCCCTTTTAAGAGGTAATTCTTTAACGACACACAAGAAGTTCCTTACCATATTTCTATTTAGTTTTCAGAACTTAAGGAACAAGGGACCAAATGATATTTACATGTACAGAAAGGAAAACAATGAAATCTGTTTTTCCAGTGAAATATTGAGAGAAAACTTCATCAGTCAATGTTTAAAGCAACATTTAGAGAACTGGTTAAGAACAGTTTTGGAATTCAATCAAAAGCAAAGAGGCAACCTGTATCCTAACAGAGATGCTTTTTCTGGCCTTCAGGAAATTCTAAATAAAAAAATTATTGTAATTTTTTCAATGTATACGTATGAATTTTACAGTTATGAAATAGAGGATAGTACTGTCTTGTCTACTGTACAAGATTGGATTTCTAGAGATATTAAAATGCTCAAAACAGAACAATTTCTGATCTCTAATGACAGTGAATCAGTTCAAAAGGACCAGTTTGCTGTCAGATATTTTTCTCAGGTTAACTATATATCAATAATACTTTATTAATTGAATTACAAATGGCTAAATTTTTAGGACAACGACACAATGTTATACGTCTTCAAAAAGGATGTATCAGTCAACAAAAACTTTTATCATAAACTGCCAATATACGTCCGAACTCTGATAGAAGACGCCAGTAAAATGTATCGCTCTGACGACTTAAAAAATCTTTATAAACAGGCATTGTTTTACGTATCAAAAGAAAAGAAACATATGCAAACATTTGAAAGGGGCATGAGTAGCTTGAACAAAATGTTATTACAAACTTATTCTCAAATCAAAGGGCTTCTGTTCCATGCAAGGCAAATGGTCGTTAAATTGTTACATCGAATTAATTTTTGTAGAGACTTTGAAAAGTCTCTTAAAGACAATGGGTCCTTTCCAAACAAAAGATTAGAGGCGAACTTGCGAGATTATGAAGACTTATTAAACAAAGCTAAAGAATGTGTTAGATTGTATAAAACATATTTTTGTAGAAATTTTTGTATTAATAACAATATTAGAGGTTTGCAGAGTATTTTTGATAATATTGAGAGAAATTTTAAAGACTGTGATATATCTTCAAGGTATGTCGCGTTCTTAAAAATTATTTATGGTACTTCATTTATTATTTATTTGTTTTAGTTATGACGAAATTTTGTTCCATATTAAAACTATGGAAGAAAACCAATCAAAAGTTAACTTGAAAGTCGTGAAAGCCCTAGCAGGTGTTATCAGAATGAGAGATAAACTCCTTAGGATTCCTACAATTAATGATTTTGTCAGGTATATTTTTATTTCAAAATATGCAAAAAAAAAAATGATTCTTTGTTTATCTCTACCTCACAGTTGGGTATCTTTGCAATCATTAATATTGTTCTCCTAATTTTGCAGATTAAAAAAAAATAAAATCGCAATATTTTATTAGTTTTTAATGTTTTAAAGAAAAAATAAAAAGTGGTACAGTTTGTCGCTATCTCTATCATCAACTATTGCACCTGTAGTAGATTAAAGAAATATTAAAACTAACTACAGACGTATTTTAATGAAACATGTTTCAAATTAGTAAAATAAAACACAATTAGTTTGACTAACAAGTCATTATCAAGACTACTTATTATACTATTACGTTTTCAATACATTTGTACTTAACTTAAACTTTTATGAAAAGTAATTTATGTTTTTCTTTCAGGAATGTTATCAAGTGCCTTTTGAAAATCGAGAAGTTCAGTACCGTCTTAAACTGTTTTATTCAAGATGTGGCTAACATTTGTAATAGCATGGAGAGAAATAAAGTTCTAAGGATTAGAATTGTCTACGAAAATAAAAATGGTATTGTTGTTTTATCGATTTCTAAGTTGCTTTTAAAAATTAACGTTTTTCGCAAATGTAATTCACGTAAGGAATCAGAAGAGGATTCGATATTCGGACTTAATGGCAGTCGTCCAGGGTTGGTTCTCCTTCTGATAGAGTCGTTTTCTGTGATTAGCGTTTTTAGAGATCGGGGTGAGGATGTGAAATCCTTTTCTGCAGTTGTTTTTTATAGAGGAAGAGATTCAATCCTGGTTCATGACCATCAGGCTCGAATAAGATAATAACGGCTATGAATGTCTTGGTCCTTTTAATCACTTTTTTTTTTGTTTTAAAAATATTGTTATAAGTCTTATTTCGTTAAAATGTAATAAGTTAAATATATTTTCAGGTGCCATAAGTACTTCCAGTCCCTCGTTTTCTTTAAATGGTTGTTCACAACTAGATCTCAAAAAAATTTTGGAGGAAAACGAATGCTGGCGATACAAGTGAGTGATGTTTGTTTTTATTATTTTCTCGATCAAATATACATTTTTATCTTAGATTTGAAGAATTTATCAACAGTAATCTACAAAATTATAAAGAAATACGTCTGCAGGAAAACTATAATTTTTAAATGCGTTTTAATTACCTATTTTTATTTTATTTAGTTTATATTCAGCATTTACAATATCGTATTTTTAAGCTCAATGTGTCAATTAAGATTTGCAAAAATGTAAGGCTGTTAGTTTTTTGTTGTGATATTGATTTTTTGTTGATTAGTTATGGATTTGAGTGATTTTTAGAACGTCCTGTACAATACTGTTATTCTCTATTATAAACTTTTATACTTTTATAAAAACATTTTATGCTGTAGAGAGTATTGTGAT